TAGGATTGCCCAACCTTCCTTCCAAGGAGTGGCTGGTGGGTTTGAACTGCCAGCCTTCTGGTTAGCAGACAAGTGCTTTAGCCACTATGCTACCAGAGCTCCTATACGACAGAATAGAAGTGTCCCATAGTGTTTCCAAAGCTGTAAATCTTTACCAAAGCAGACTGTTTCATCTTTCATCCCACAGAGTGGCTGGTGGGTTTAAACTAACAACCTTTTGGTTAGCAGCTGAAGGTTTTAACCACCATGCCACCAGAGCTCCTTATAGGCTTACCACTATGTTTTAATTATTTACAGTGGTGGTTCTCCATCTTAATTGTCTGTTAGAATCACCTGAGGGAACTTTTGAAACTCCAAGTCTTCAGTCTATCTCCCAGTCCAATTAATCAAAATCTCTGGGTAAGGTAAAATCCATCCATCAGCACTCTTTAAAGCTCTCCGGGTAATTCCAATAGGCAGCCAGAGTTGGGAACCAATGCTTTAAATCCTCTTGGTAAGTTTTTTGAAATCTAGATTTTAAGAGTGGAATTGGCTTCCAAAAGAAAATCTGTCCTGAAATCCTATAATTCAAAAGAGGACACAAATACATTCTTTCTTTACAAACTTTGAAGCTCCCTTTGAAGAACAATAACCACTTACTTATCCAAGTTCCTACCTACTATCTCAACTATCCAGAGAACAGCTGAGAACTAGTTTTAGTTTTTTAAAAAAAAAAAAAAAAGCCAGATAACAAAATTATGTCCATTCTCTCAAACTCATACATGTTGCTCATAAAAATATGCTTTGCTCACTCACTAAATACCCATTCACTTTTACTTTTCATAAAATTCACTAAGTTTGGCTATCTGGTCTTCCAGTCAATGGACGATTACAAGCAGCAATTTAAAAGAGCTGAAGCTGGAGGAGCTTCCAAAGTCCCGAAGAAGACCAGAAAATAAGGACACACACAAAATCAAAGAACAGAGTAGTTTGAGACCTCTTTATAAAATGATAACTTCTTGTTGTTGTTGTTTGTCATCGAGTCAGCCCTAACTCATAGCGACCCCTCCTTGGGTTTCCGAGGCAGTATCACTACGGAAGTAGGATTGCCCAACCTTCCTTCCGAGGAGAAAATGATAACTAGCCTTAAGCAAATCAGTAGACCCCTGTGAGCATAACTATTCAAAATTATGACTCTGTGCTGGGGCAGAGACGAGCCTGAGACATCTTGTTATGCTTGAAAGTAAGGAAATGTCTAAAACTATGATGAGGACATGTCACAAGGACACAGAAGCTAGCTTGAAGGAGCTGCTACTGGTCAAATCTGGAACAATGAGCAGCAAAATTATTAAATAATGAATGATAAACCAATGGGAAAAAATAGGAATTCATGAGTCTGCACTGATAATTAAGGAAAAATGGAGAATCCTTGCTTGCAGGAGAATGCCAAGGTCTTATTCTAGAATTAGAAAATCACCATTTTGTGACCACCATAGTAAAGATTAGGCAAGAATTATCAAAGGATTCTAAATCTAGGAAGAAATTTTAATGAGGAGTAGGGTATTTGCATGGTCTTGAAGTGTCTCCCCACAGACTTCTTATTAGTAGCAAGCTAGAAAAAAGAATATTAATTATACAAGGGAGAAACTGGACAACCTTGACTATTGATCAAAATTAACAACACCAATGAATGACATCTGAATATTGTGTCCTTTCTGATATGACACCCTAGAAAGACACAGCATCATCTACTCAGTCTGGAGAGTAGAACTGGAAAGTAACCACAAAGAAACATCTGACATTCCTCCCTGTGCAGGGAGGTTACCTTGATATATGTGTATCGGATATATACAAATATATGTTGTTGTTGTTGTTGTTGTTGTTATTTGCCGTCGAGTCGGCCCCAACTCATAGCAACCCCTCCTTGGGTTTCCGAGGCAGTATCACTACGGAAGTAGGATTGCCCAACCATATGTACTGTATATAAATATGATGTTCACAAAACATCCAAATCATACAATGTCCTATTATACAGCAGTATTGTGGAGGTTAAACAATGCATACCTGTATACATATATATGTGTGTGTGTGTCTGTGTGTGTCATACAATTTGAGTACACACACACACACACACATATATATATATACATACATGTGTATAAAGAGAGAGAAAGAGACCAAGTGACAAAGCAACCAGGGTAAAATGATAATAAAGGAATCTGGTAAAGAGTAACTATGGTTTCCTTTGTACTGTTTTTAACGAGGAATGTTCTATTAAAGAAAAAAGAAGTGGAGGAGGATAACTATATTAATTTCAAAATGTCAATATTAAAGGAGGCTAAAGAGACATCACAATTAAAAGCAGTATCTGGTTGTAGACTAGATTCTGTAATGGAGGGGGGAATGTTATAAATTCTACTGGGCCAACTGATAAAACTGAAAGACAAATGGCAGATTAAAGTATTGTATCAATATTAAATTTACTGCGTTGGTTACTGTATGGTGGTTATGTAAGAGAACACCCCTATCTTAGGAAATTTACACTGAATTATTTAGGGCTAACGGGCCATAACGCATATACTTTACCCTTAAGTATTTGGCAACGTTGGACCACACAAACTTCCGCAGGGGGAGGGGGAGGGGCTTGCTTGGAAGGGCGCCCGGAGGCCCGGCAGCGTTAAGTTTGCGGTGCGACAGCAGCTGCAGCCAAGGCTGTGCTCTGCTGGGCCGCAGCCCCACCACCACCCTCAACAAAGGCCGCCAGTAGGTCTGTGCTTGAAGGGAAATGATGGGCTCTCCGCTCTGTCCCTCAGGCTTCCGATTCGACCAAGCTCACAGAAGCTGCTCCAAGAACAGGCACAAATTTGTCAAACGCCAGGCTGCAGGCACTACTCAGGGCGCTAATGGGAATTAGAGCTGCTTGTCCAGGGAGGTTACCTTGATATATGTGTATCGGATATATACAAATATATGTACTGTATATAAATATGATGTTCACAAAAGATCCAAATCATACAATGTCCTCTTACACAGTATTGTGGAGGTTAAGCAATGCATACCTGTGTGTATATATATATATGTGTTGTTGTTGTTGTTGTTACGTGCCTTCGAGTCAAACCCGACTCATAGCGACCCCTCCTTGGGTTTCTGAGGCAGTATCACTACGGAAGTAGGATTGCCCAACCTTCCTTCCGAATATATATATATATATATATATATATGCGTGTGTGTGTGTCGTACAATTTGAGTACACACATACATACATATATATATACATGTGTATGGAGAGAGAGAAAGAGACCAAGTGATAAAGCAACCAGGGTAAAATGATAAGTGAATCTGGTAAAGAGTATCTATGGTATCCTTTGTACTGTTTTTATTTTTGCAACTTCTCTGTAAGGTTGAAATGATTTCCAAATAAAAAGCATGACCCTAACTATATGACTCTATGACCATAAAACTTTAAAGTTTTCAGTACATTTTATTTAAGAAAGGAAGGATATGTGTGTGTACATTTTAGAAAAAGCTTGAATCAAAAAGCTTAAAATTTGAAGTCTTGATGTTTAAAAGATTAATCTTTGGTTCAGTTCAAAATTCATTTTTATGGAATCCTTCATTCTTCTAAATATGCTGAATGAATAAAATGTGATTGTGCAGTGCTGTCTCATTTTGCTAACAGCTCTTGGCAGAATGATATAAACAAATGATTCCATACATGCTTCTTTGGATGCTTTTACATCATTTTCCTAATCCTCATAACACATCTATGACAGAGACAAAAGTCTATCCCCACTTCATAGATGAAGAAGCTGAGACACAAAAAGACCAAGCCCACGCGGCAAAGGCTAGATCTTTCCAAGAGTAGTAGCTCTACCAGCTCTTTCAGGAAGGATTCCTAAGCACTTCCTTTCATGTACACATGAAGATGTTTACAGACAGCACATTCCACTGGTGAAAGACCTTCCTGTCATTCCTGAACTACCCACTGAGCTGCTTCCTGCTCACCAGCAGGGCTGTCTCTACGAGCCACAGACTGAGATGGTCATCAGATTGTGCCCTTCCTATACTCTGGAGTCCATGGGTGTTGCAAATGGTTAACAAACTTGGTTGCTAACCTAAAGGTTGGAGGTTTGAGTCCACTCAAAGGCTCCTCAAAAGCAAGGCCTAGGATCTACTTCCCAAAAATCAGCCATTGAAAACCACAGGCAGCATGGTTCTACTCGGACGTGCATAGGGTAGCCATGAGCTGAAGCTGGCTCAACGGCTCCTGACCTCTAGGCCAAAACTGAAGTTGTGGGATATTTTTGGCTGCTTCAAGTGATTTACAGGAGCTGTGGTGATGTAGTGGTTAAGGCATTTGGCTGCTAACCAAACTGTCAACAGTTCAAACCCACCAGCTGCTCCACAGAAGAAAGGTGAGGCAGTCTGCTTCTGTAAAGATTTACAGCCTTGGAAGCCCAATAGGGGTCTCTATGAGTCAGAATCAACTCAATGGCACTGAGTTTGGTTTTGTTTGGTCAAGTTTCTTGGTGCCAGGAAAAGCAGTGACAAAGGAATGGGATAAAAATTACTCAGTACCAATAGATAAGCCCTCCCCACCTTCCATACATACAACTTCTTGCTTCTTTCTCATCCCCATTCATTTTTGTCTACCTTCTCACAGTATCAAGAGCCATGGTGGCACAGTGGTTAAAGTGCTTGGCTGCTAACCAAAGGGTTAGTGGTTTGAACCCACCAAACATTCCACAGGAGAAAGATGTGACAGTGTGGTTTCATAAAGATTACAGTCTTGGAAACTCTATGGGGCAATTCCACTCTGTCCTAAAGAGTCACTACAAGTCAGAAGTGACTCAACGGCAACAGGTTTTTCACCCTATCACTGCCCTAAGATGTAATTTTAGCCAGCCTTCTCCAGCACACAGTGATGGCAGGCAGTTTGGTTGGAGCTGCAATGTTGCCTGCACTGATGGCACTGGTCAGCACACAATGCCTCGGGCCAACAACATAACCTCACCACTCACCGAAATCACTTGGGTCTCTCCAGGTTTGTCCAGGTTCTCAAACACAGCCTCTTGTTTGTCAGCTCGGACTTCAATGAGGTTTTGCTTGTAGTTAACGGTGAGGTTCCTCTCCTGAATGATCTCCAGCAAGGCATCTGCATACTTCTTCACTCCAAAAATTGCTCCAAGAGAAGTGTTAAAAATGATATTGGCTTTGGGTCGCTTCCCTGTCTGAGAAAAAAGGAGAGAAACAACAAACACTAAAGCATTACTCCAGCCACTTTAAAAAAAACACAAAAAAACCCTAGACAAGGGTTGGAGCTCTGGTGGCATAGTGCCTGAAGCATTTGACTGCTAACCAGATGATTAGTGGTTCAAACCCACCAGCCACTCTGCGGAAAGAAGACTGGGCAATCTACTTCCGTAAAGATTTATCATGTCAGAAACCCAAAGGGGGTCGCTATGAGTCAGAATCGACTTGATGGCAGTGAGTTTGCTTTTCAGTATTAGACAAGAATTAAATCTCTCAGAAGAATCCTTGCCAGATTTTTTCATCACTATAACCTTACTGAAGGAGCTCTGGTGGTATAGTGGTTAAGGTATTTGTCTGCTAACCAAAAGGTCAGTCGTTCGAACCCATTAGCTGCTCCATGAAAGAAAGATGAGGCAGTCTGCTTCCAGAAAGATTTATAGCGTTGGAAATCCAATAAGGGTCACTATGAGTCTGAATTGACTCGATGGCAGTAAGTTTGGTTTTTGGTGTGTGTGTGTATGTGTGTGTATATATATATATATGGGAGCTCTGGTAGCGTAGTGCCTAAGGCACTTGACTGCTAACCAGAAGGCTGGCAGTTCAAACCCACCAGCCACTCTTCCTCAGAAGGAAGGTTGGGCAATCTACTTCCATAGTGATACTGCCTCAGCAACCCAAGGAGGGGTTGCTATGAGTCGGGGCCAACTCGAT